ATAATTGTCTAAACTATACTTTTTTTTAAATAGGTGTCCAAACATTTTTTCAATTCTTTCATATGCCTAACATTATAAACATTATTACTTTAAATTCTTCAATCGTAACGACTGTTAAAATATTTCGTTAAGTGAGACACGTTATGTTTTGATAATTTAAAAATACTATTTCAAAACAAAATATTAACATTATATTTTAAACATAGTGGATTGTTATATTTTATGGTGTGGGTAGGGATGGGCATGGGTAGATTCCGATCCGACCAAAAAATATAAACCCTCCATCCGAAATTTGACCCGACCTGAGTTTAGGGGTGACTTCATCGACTTGAACTTATTTCGATTTTTTGAGATAAAATTCGAACACAATCTAAACCAACCCAAAATAAAGATATATATAAAAAATTCAATAAAAATATAATTTCAAAAAATAATATCTAGATGATTATTTTTGTAATTATCTTTAAATATATAAGTTAAATTTATATTATTTTTTAGTCGGGTCGAGAATTTTTCATCCTAAACTTGAAGCCAACCCGAACATTTTTTTAAAAGAAAACCCGACCCGAACCTAAACTTTTTTTTAATCTAACCTAATCAAATCGAGCTAAGTCAGAACCCGTCGAGTTTGAGTCCCGTATCCATCCTAGATATGGGACTTGGTCCCCATATAAAAGATAAGAAATTTGTATGAAGCTAGACTCTCCCACCTCAATAGCTACCTTTTGGTGTGTGGATCTCCAAAGGTCTATATCAAGTTAATCACGAAAATTAAACATTAAACATCCATTAAGCTATCAAATTTAATCAACCATAATTGAATAGACAAAAGAATCTATCTTCTGAACACACAAATTAAACTTGACTAACTCTAAACTGAATTTTAAACCTCGAATTTCAAATTGAATGGACTTAAATTGTATTATTAAGTAGATAAATCTCTGAATAATAATAGTAGGAAAAAAAGAACTATATATCGAAATCGATAATAACGAAAGGACCAAAACCATAATTTAATTGATAAAAAAGTACAACTCTTATATATTTGATTAAAAAAAGTTTAAGCAAATGATCCCCTAACTATAGAGTAATGCTTTATTAAGTCTCTCGATTATTAAAAATTACAAAATGATCATTTGATTATAGAGTGTTGCTTTGTTGAGTCCATCAACTATTAAAAGTTACAAAACAATCACCCGAGTATTCATTATGTTCTAGACTCGTCCTTTTCCGTTAAACAATTAATGGTTGTTTAAGTTGAACGTTAACATGATGATTACGATGTGATAGTCGTTTGAGATTTTAGGATCAATCTTTATCGTATCATATTCAAGAAGTTATTGTTCAACTAAGAATATCGTCAATTTTTATCTAAAATGACGGGTTTGTAGTATAATATATAATCGGGCTACTAATTTTTAATAGTCATAAAACTTAATAAAATAATATCTTATAATCAGGGGACCATTTGCGTTATTTACCCAAAAGGTTTTTACATGTTGGAGGCTCAATCAAAGAATTCCATTGCGAGAGAAGTGATAAAGAGAAGAATAGAAGATAAAGATATAAAGGGAAAGTGGATGGAAAAGAGAGAGCTTTCAGTGTCCAAATGATGAGAAATCTATGGCCCTCGACAAGTTTTTACAGTCACACACCACATTCAATCTCCCCTAGTCAATTCCCACGTGCTCAAACATGATTTTTTCTAATATTTTTTTAAAAGCCACGTGGACAAATTCATGTACTAAATTATTACATCATTGCTGACATCAGATCGTTCAACCACAGCTCAAACAAGCTGTGATACTAAATGATTCTAGTTTAAACAACTCTATATATATACATTCTTTTTCAAGTGTGTATTAACGGGAGTTGATTCAAATAGTAAACAATTTCGTATCGCTTAAGCAATGTCTTGAAGTCCAGTCCTTATGTACGTAAAAAATCTTCGTTGTAAGACTCACCCGCCAAAACCAGGTGTGTGAAGCAAGTTAGTCCAGATTAATCAAGACAAAACCTTTTAACCGAGAGGACAACCAAATTTTTTTTCTTATTTTTCACGTGTAGATAAAATTTGTAATCTTATTTACTAAATCAAAACCACTTAAAATTAATATTTATAATGTTGTTATTGAAGAAAGAAGTTTCGAGGACATATTATTGATGAAAATATAAAAGAATCGAAGCATTGATAGAATTTATCTTGGAAAGAGTTGAAGATGAAAGATCAACTTGAATAAAATAAAAAATTAAGGGACTAAATTGTAAAAAATAAATAGTATTAATTTATTATCAAAAGAGAAGTTAAAGTTACACATATTATAAGGTAGTTAACCAACATGTAATTCAAATTTGATTAAAAAAAGTATACTTAAAACAAATTCAAACTAGACTCGAACTTGAAATCCAAACAAAAAATTCGAGTTGACCTGAATAACTCGATTTTATAATCGAATTGAGTTTTGTTCAACCCTACAAACCATTAATGATTTATGCATCATCCTCAATATCCATCCACACGATTCCAAAACTTGAAGAAGTGGAAGACAAGGAGTTATGAGGACATTTGTAAACAACCTGAAGATTTTACCAGCAAACATCGGCTGCTACTGCCTGGCCTTCTTTTGGCACGACGGACATTTGTAAACCTTAATCATTTCAGCCTTGGCCGGTGTTATCCTCACGCACTTTCCGTGGTACCACCGTTCGCAGTTGTCGCAACCGATCCAAAACTCGTCCGAATTGTAACCTCCGCCACAGCTCCCACAAAAGGTATCACCCTGCTCTTCTTCCCCGTCCTCATTACTTTCGTCTGCTAACTTAGGATTGCTTCTTGGTTGTCCATCGATCGACCTCTGAAAGGAAGAAAAAAGACGAAACAAAATCAATCGATCGTGTTAACAGTTTGAATTGCTTTCATCATCGTTGTCATGGATAGAGGGATAAGAAAATCCACCTTTGTGCTGTTCCGTGATTTGCTTCCACTCTCCGGTGCGGGCTTCTCTTTCACAGGCTTCCGTCCACCTACAACTTCAAAGACGGTGGGAAGATCGTTCATCATGCTAAATAAGCGCTTCCTGTTGAGTGAAGGGAGCGAAACTCATCATCAATAGTTCTATAAGAATACGAGCCAGAAGCGATAAATAGAGCGCAGAAGGTTGATATCATAGGACTTAAGAATGCAATAGCCAGTGCTTGGTCCCATGCGATTTTATCAAATAACATTCGAAAAGGCATATCAAAAGAAGCAACATAATCAGATCTAATGCAACAGGCAGAGCCGGCAGTAATTAACCGAGTAGAGATAAGATTAACATATTAACGAAAACCGAAAGAGGAAAAGGGTGGGGGTTGCCAGCTGTGTATTTACGAAAACATTTTGGGGGCAACATGATAGCTTAGTTTGCTCAGTTTGAAGGGGGTTGTTTTGTTTGCTAGGTTTGCTTAGTCCCACTATCGATTCTTGAAAGGATCGTTATATTTGGTAGCGAAGAACTAGATCTATACCTACCTACTATCATGAAACGAAACATCAAACAAAGAAAACACAAATCGAAAAAAGTATAGGTACAAACTCCGATAATGCTAAAGTGAATGTTAAGTAAATAAACCAATCATTTAAATGCTAAGCATCTTAGTTCACAGATTGGTTTGGAAATGACGTTCGAACTAGAACCCCTTAACCCAGGATGCAAACGTCCTAGACAACGGAGAAAGTGGCCTCTACTTAAAAGGATACATGAGATGGAGGATAGAAGGTATAGATCTCCCGATTTACACCTTCTGATTTAACGGAAAGCTCCAGATTGGAGTAAAAAGAACTGGCAAAAGTTATTAAGAGTAAGAGGAAGACCCCTTTCTCATTTCTCGTTTATGTCGAGCCAAAGAATTCGTATACCGAAACTAATTTTTAGAGCAAGAGGCAAAAGCACAGATCATAAGCACAATGTAGGATAAAGAGCAGAGAAACAAATGTCGCAACTCCAAAGAGGACATATTCCAGAACAACGCACCTCTCATTGCAATTAAGGCGAGCACCGAAATAGAATGCCACAGAGAGCAACCAACAATCACTATGCACAGCAACCAGTGAAAGCCAATCCTCACGATTCATCCCGTCTCTTGCAAAATTAATACCCAAAGCTGGCTCGGGGAGCTCTGATGGGACTTCCTCTGCCGGTAAAGCTACCTCCCATGCCTCGTTTGGGTATCCATACAAACACAAATTCTCCTTATCTGAGGAACAGCAAAATAACTGGAATCAAAGCCATTAATTTCTACGAAATGCTCAACTCGATTCGATATTTGCATACAAAAAACCGTTCCATCTCTAATCAGATGTACTTAAACGGTAGTTGCGTGAACGAATCCACACCAAAGAACAACAAACCAAAGCTCTATAACAAAAAGACACAATGCCCAAGTCGAACCGGCTCTTTCGATCACCTAGAGACCTTAAAACATTTGAAATTCCATCAGACCATAAGGAAGTAGAAACCTTAAAACAATTAAAAGGGAAAACATTCTAAGCAAAATCGAACCGGCTCGATACGATCACCTAGAGACTAATTAGCTCGCATCAAATTAAACGCATCGGAAGAAACAGAACGTCCATCTTAAGTTTCTCGTCAACTTTCCCAGTAACCAAACAGTAAAAAACAACTGAATAAGACGGAAACTGACCTGGATCACATTGCGAGTAGAAATCGTCTACATCTGATCCAAAACCAAACCAAAACATAAAAAAAGAAACTCAAATATTAAACAAAATAACAAATTGAATGAATGAAATTAGGGTTTACAGAAAGAGGGGAAATTTACCGAGTGTGAGAGCACGAACGATAGCGGAGCGTCGAGCGTTATAGTCTTTGAAGATCTCTTCAACGGTGCGAGGACTAGAAGTAGCCATTTTTCGCTCTAATAATTTCAAATTGTAATATTTTTCAATCGATGATTCGATTCAGAGACACACAAAAAAATAATTTAACTAAGGGGAAAGAAAAAAGGAAGAGTTTTCGAAGCTCAGGTGTACGGAAACAGACAAGAGAGGAGAGAAAGAAGGAATAGGGAGATTTGTCAGTTCGGTTGGCAGCAAAATAAAGAACATGACGAAAGATCGGTTTTTTTTAGCAGATTTCATGGAACATGCTGAAGCCGTGTTTGGATTAGGCCCAACCCAAAATGATAAGGCCTTGTTTGGGGTATTTCGAACATGACTTTTTTCTAATATTTAGAGTACCTAAATTATTAGTTTTGATCTTTTTAGTATCTAAATTTTTAATTTTTTAAATTATATTTAAAGTTTATTTTTTTTATTTTAGTACCTGACGTTAAAAACTTTTGTTTTTGTTTCATTTCAGCACCCTTCAAAATTTAATATTGAATTTTGAAAAAATTAAAAGTTTAAGTATTTAAGCAGACAAAAATTGATAATTTAAGTACTAAACGCATTAAGTTTTTAACATCGAGATTAGGCCCAACCCAAAAGATAAGGCATTGTTTAGGTATTTAAGCGGACAACAATTATATGGGTAGTTTTAATCCAAATAATAATCCATAAGCAACCCAAACGATTTTCACTTTTTACGAAAAAAGTCCTTGAAGCTTTGGGGATATGGGGTCTAGATTGGATGAGTTCTGATCTCATTCGATTTTGTAGATTTTTTATTTTAATTTGAATTTGGGTTGAGATTGGATCAAGTTTTTCTCAAGAAAAAAAGTCGGATTGAATTTGAGTTTATGGTAAAAAAACTCATTATTCGACAACCAAAATAATAGTATAATTATTCTTTATATATTAAGAGATAATTAAAATAACATCTCTCTTTATATTTTTTAATTCGGGTACTAATTTTTATCCTGATATATATATATATATATAAAGTTGGGTCAGATCAGGTCAAATACAAGTTTTTATCTTAAAAATTTGATGAATTTCGAGTCGAATAGAACCTTCCTAAACCCAAATTAGATCGGATGACGAAAAATCATAATACTTAAATTAGATTCGAATCAACCAAAAACTTGACCTGACTTATACACATCCTTTCCTATTGAAAGAACTAATAAATAGTATATATTGAATTAAATTGAAACATGAAGAGATTAGAATTTAACATCTCAAAGTTCATAGACTTTTTTATTTTAATTAAGAAATTGTCCCATCGACATAAAATATTATATAAAAACTAAATTTTAAATTAGAAAAAAATGGACAAGATCATAATACATGTCCAAAAAAGTTTGAATGTTGCAATTTCATCCCAAACTTTTTAATGATTTTGGGAGACATTATTGGAACGTTCAACAGCTGGGGATTAATTTACAACGAGGGTCGTGGTTTGGAAATGAATTTGAAATGTTCAAAAGTTTAGAGATCAATTCAGAACGTGTCTCGTAGTTTTAGGATGGAATTAATATGTTCAAAAGTTTAGGGATGGACGTGGATTATAATTTAAATACGTGTGATGAAATTAACTCATTCTAATGTTAGAACCCAAATTTATTGAAACCCACCTTCTAAAGGACGCAAAAATGAATAATTTAAGCTAAACCCTAGCTTTGATGTCACATTATTACAAAACTAGATCTTTATCCATTGAAGTTTTAGAGACCTACCTCTTAGCTAGCTAGTATTGGTTTAGATGGACATTGATGAGTTGGATTTTTGGCCAACCATATTGTCCTATATTGACCAACTCACCTACTATAGTATTAAACTTTGGTCATCGTCTAATTTAGTCACATAAATTTTCAAACTCAATTATCCAAAGCATATTCTTTTGGTATAATTATGGTTATGATTTATTGATTGATACATCCGCATGATTATTGCAGAGATAATCTTCTTAATTCGATTTATTTCATTCTTAATATTAGACTTTAATTCTGTAATGTTATTTAAAAATCTAGCGTTTCATGCCATCAGATAATTTAATAGTTGATATTCGATGCATGTTTCCGGTGTGGACATTTTTAAAATCATATTTAGCATTTCAAAATAAAAATATATATAAAAGGGAAAATTGAAAGGTGGCAATAAATATAAAGGGGATTACACACTTTTGTTTTAATGGTCACACTATTCATGGGGAAAGAAGATAATTTCATTATATCATGAACTTGATTTTTATTTATTATTTATTTAATTTTGCTATAATGCCATGGCCCCATGAAAAGTAGGTTGCACCAATAAAAATAAATAACCTACGGTCCCCCACACCAAGTAATCAATTATTAGGGTATAAATGTAATACATAAAAATTGATTTAAAATTCATTTTCCAGTTTTACGAACCAAATTATTTCAGTGGTTAAATGAATCGTTGTTATTTCTTAAGATCACGGATTCAAGCATCAGCGAATGCAAGGGTAATTGAGCGTTTATTTTCAAATGATTGAGAGTACTCATAACAGATAATACTTTGTAATTTATGATCGAATTTGATTAAATTTTATTTTTTGAATTTAAATTTGATTTAAAATAAAAATTTATCCATTGAATTTAAAGTTAATTTCATTACATGTCTCTAAACTATAGCTTTTATTTTAAATTGGTCTTTAAACTTTTGAATATCCCAGTTTCATCCTTAAACTATGACTCACATTCTAAATTAGGCCTTACACTTTTGAAAATTATAATTTCATCCCTAAACTATGAGCTTCTTTCTAAATTAGTCCATTAACTTTTTAAATCCAATTTTATCCCAAATTCATCCAAGTGTGTAATTAGTTTCAACCATAGTTTAACCTAAAATTTGTTTTTTTCAAAGATATAATGATATAATTTGGTTTAACGATTTTATTAAAAAGGGATGCAATTAATATATGCACATAGTTTGGGATGAAATTGGAATTTTCAAAAGTTTAAGGACCAATTTAAAATGAAGATCATAATTTGGTGATGGAATTAAAATGTTTAAAAATTTGAAGACTAATTTAAAATGATAGTTATAGTTTAGGAAAAGAATATTTAAATTCTTTCAAATTTAATTTTTTGGCCATCAATAAATTAATTTGTCCTAAGAATATAAATCAAAATTAGAAAAAAAATAAATGCTCCTGAAATTTTCTATAAAAAAGGGGTAAATCCCTCCTTTCCTTTCTTTGGAAGCATTCTTTTCCATGTTGAAAATTGACAAATTCAAAATTCAAACATTGATTTTTTTTTCTTAAAAAACAGTAATTTATATATTCAATATACTTATTTTGTCTTTTCCAATAAAAAAATTATTTCAAATTAATTTAAATAAATTATAAAACTAAATACAAAATTAATTATTAAAATACATTATATTAAAACAGTTTGTTGAAGAAAAAATTCTATTAAGTAGTATATATATTAAAATATATAATTAAATTAATTAAAAAGAGAAAATATTGATGAAAATAAACAAAATTGAAAACCACAGTTAAACCCTGTCAGCTTCTACCTCTTTTCAAAGTTGGTTTCACAACGAAGAAAAACACCCAAAAGATAAAGAAAAAACACGCAGAAGCTTAAACATGGTATTCTGTTCATGTCGTTTTCCAGAATTGACTCTCAAAAATCACTTAATTTCCACACTTACGACACCTAAAACACGAAAAACACTTGAGAGAGAGAGAGAGAGAGAGAGAGAGGATTGCTAATTCTTTTCCTTGGTATTTCTGTTTTCATGGAGGCGAGCTTCGAAGTTGAAGCCGTGATCCAGTTCTTGAGGGAAAATGGCTTGAAAGAAGCCGTGAAAGCTCTAGAACAAGACTTGATGGAGGAAAACGAAGAAGAAGAAGAAAAGGTGTGTGCTTTTGATTTCGAGAAGTTCTTGTTCCCGATGCTGCCGCCGGTGAGGATTCCGGCGACAGTCCAGAGATCGGAGGAGGACGAGCAAGTGAATTCCAGCGATGGGTCCGGCTCCAATGGCGATGAATTCGTCAGCTTGAGGTCTTCTTCTAGTGATGTTTGCTCTTCACGTAAGAAGAAAATTAACTCATCTATTCATCTCAAGTTCATGTTTATAGTAAGTTTAGTTACTGTCCTAGTTTTAATAGATCTTTAGAACCAATATAATATTCTGATCTCGATATCGATTATGCTACACATATTCAGACATAGATGTCCGAATATATTCGACACGAGGACGGACGAACGAAGGATTTTACGTTACGGTACAAACCTTTAGTAAGTACCAAGTATATTAATACAAAATTATATCATCAAAAGAAATACATTAAATCCGACACTCACATCCGAATCCGAGTAACATAGGATTTTCACTGCCATTTGTTCGGTTCTATTTTTGATATCTAGGTGGCTGATAGGAGGTGAATGTTAGTTAATCCATATGGACGTCATGTTTGCAGACTTTGTGAATCCATATGGACTTCATTCTGCATCTCAGGCTGATTCCGATACTTCTTCAGATAGCTTATCTCAGTTCGGGACGGCACGCGAGTATCCGGATTTCGAAATGCAGAATGACTTGTTTTGGCATGAGGACAAAGATGAAGACCACTTCTTGACTCCCTGCTTCGCTGGGTCGGATTTCTATGGTTTCCCGAGTCAGGACAAGTTTGTCACAACGTCGGAGACAGAGATGCATCGTGATAATAAGCTGATTTCATATGACAAATCCGATGGATCTCGAACAGAAGATGGCGTTGATTACTTGGACAAGCCTTGCCTTTTTAATATGGCCAGCACAAATGGGGAAGACGAGGCTCGAATTATGGATTGTTATCATTTTGATAAATGTAATGGGCTTGAAGGCGACATTGTACCTGAGTTGAAGAACCGTGCTTATAATTCCGAGGGACCGGGTCTTTATGATGAAAAACCGCTGAACTTCGGGTATATAGGCTCTAAAGGAACAGATTTTGATGATTTTCGAGTAAAGGTTGCTGGAGACATCGATGTGGATCATAATGGAGCTTCTGAACATAAATCAAAAAAGAATTTTTACTCGGCCAGAAGGGGTTCAAATGACTTGATTGATGGGTTTGGAGGTGATTCTGCCTTGGTGAACAAGATTTCCGAGAATAAATTATTAACCGAGACAATCGACGGTAATGAATTTGAAGATGGAGAACTCGGTGAACTTGAGGCTACTGCAAATGAAGAGGGTGACGCTACAAATGAACTTCAAATGTACTCTAATGAGGATGAATACGAAGTATTCGATTTGCGAATCATTCACAGGAAAAACAGGTTAGCTTTACACCCTTAATCTGCTACAGAGTTTGAATATATAGATATTTCAAGGCATGTGCTGTAGGTTGATGTGTATCGCTTAGTCCGTAAAACTTGTACATTATGCCATGTGCAGGACTGGATTTGAAGAAAACAAGGACCTGCTTATTGTGCTAAATAGTGTCATCGCCGGAAGATATTATGTAACGGAATACCTAGGTTCGGCTGCTTTTAGTAAGGTTGTTCAAGCCCATGATCTTCTCATGGGGATCGATGTTTGCCTGAAGATCATTAAAAACGACAAAGATTTTTTGGACCAGAGTTTGGATGAGATTAAGCTTCTAAAGCTTGTTAATAAGCACGATCCCGGAGATAAGTGCCATATTTTGCGTCTCTATGATTATTTCTATCACCGGGTACGTTAGTTAAACGGCTATTGCCACCCCTCTCATTCTGAGTTTCTTGCAGAACCATTCCGTAAGTGCTTATTAATGCTAATGATTGGTTTTATCACTCGTGCGAAATCGGTCCAGGAGCACCTGTTTATTGTCTGTGAACTGCTTCGAGCAAACTTGTATGAATTTCAAAAATTCAATCAAGAATCGGGTGGGGAAGCTTATTTTACACTCGGCAGGTTGCAGGTTCGTTCGAACGGCTACCGGCTTGCCTGCACTCTTCTTTTAGTTCTTCGTTTCTCTCGATTTCAGTTACCTAAATGTTTATGAAGTATAAGAGGATAGCACTTTAAGTTAAACTCGAATAATTTGCTGTTGATATTCTCTCGTACAGATTATAGCTAGTCAGTGTTTGGAGGCACTCGATTACTTGCATGAGTTGGGAATTATTCATTGCGATCTAAAGCCGGAGAATATTCTTATCAAAAGTTATAGGAAATGTGAGATAAAGATTATCGATCTCGGAAGCAGTTGTTTCCGGACCGACAATCTGTGTGTGTATGTTCAATCTCGCTCCTATAGAGCCCCGGAAGTCATCCTTGGCCTGCCATATGACCAGAAGATTGACCTCTGGTCTCTCGGGTGTATCCTTGCCGAGCTATGTTCAGGGGATGTATGTCTTTAATTTCGATGCTTGCTACCAATCATTTGAAACAACCGTTCCTCGGAAACGATTTGAACCGTTACTCATTTTAAGTACCTATGTCTTTTTATAGGTGTTGTTCCCAAATGATGCAGTCGTGATGATCCTCGCCCGAATGGTTGGAATGCTCGGTCCTTTCGATACGGAGATGTTGGAGAACGGGCAAGAGACATACAAGTATTTCACAAAAGAATACGATCAGTACCACATAAATGAGGTCTGTTCGCCGTTTCCTTTCAGCAATAGAAGTACAACTTCAATCTGTTTCGATTTAATACGATGAACTCATACAGTTTCTTTTCCTATCCAGGAGACGGACCAACTCGAATACATCATTTCCGAGGAGTCTTCGTTGGAGCAGCATCTTCAAGTATCTGATGTGCTGTTCGTCGATTTCGTTAGACACTTGCTTCAGATGAACCCTGAAAGGCGCCCAACTGCAAGGGAGGCATTACAACACCCATGGCTTTCCTACTCGTACTAAACTGGAACTCAACCGAATCGCCGGAGGAACGACGCTTTCTGTGAGTATATTACACACTCATCAAGCAATATCTTATGAGTCGAGCATATTTCCGATATCGATTTTGGTTTTATGTATAGCAAAAAAAGTGGATCACACTTCATATTTATTAACATTCTTTTAATTCATTGATTGAATCTCTTAATGCCAATAACTGTATATGCTTGCGCGATCACACACACGTAGATACATACATATATAGATCGTTTTAAGTTTCGTCTGCATTCGAATCGATACTTGCTCGGATTACTGTTTATGTTCCTCAGAACTTCATCTGTTTTTAATTTCTCCATCATTGAATTCTAGTACTATGTTTTAACTTGCCTGCAAATACCAGAGTTGCAATGTTACCTTGTTCATCAAGTAACAACAATGGAACCGAAGGATCTAATACGATATAAACTAGATTAATTCGATCTGTTTTTAGGTTTCTCCTTCATCATTGAATTCTAACACTATGTTTTAACTTGCCTGCAAAATTTGCAAACACCATAGGTACATTACTACCTTGTTCATCAAGTAACAACGGATCCAACAGATCCGTTGTTTGTTAGAATCGAAATAATACGATATAAACTAGATTAACTCAATATCCGTCATGTCGAACTATAAAATAATAAGTTCAATACTAGATGTGGAAGTGTATCTCACTCCATTGTTAACTTATTTCTTGGAGATCACTACATATCTGTCATGTCATGTCGAACTATAAAATAATAAGTTCAGTGCTAGATGCGGTAGTGTATCTCACTCCATTGTTAACTTATTTCTTGGAGATCACTACCTATTTGTATAATTGATTATTAAATTAATTTATAAGTATTTATAATTTTGTCCCTCACTGAATGATATATACAATTTGTCAATTTATTCAACTTAACCTTTGAACTTCAATTTTTAATTATAAAATAAGTGTTCCAACTATACCGCTTTTCTCAAATAGATGCCTAAACTTTGTTTCAATTCATTTAGGTGTCTAAAGCTACAAACGTTACCATTTTACCATTTTAGGTTTTCAGACCGTAACGGTAGTTAAATTCTATCTTTAAAGGACACGTTGCGTTCATGTAATTTTGAAAATTTTATTTAAAATAAAAAATTAAAATTATATTTAAAAAATCCAAAATTTTTGAAAAAACTTAAAAAATATCCCAAACTTTGAAAACCCTAAACCTAATCCCTATACCCACGTCATTGTCACCCTTTACCGTCGACTGAACCTACCTCCGACCGCGCCTCCAGGCCCTCCACCCAATGTCCACCCATGCAATGAACAATCATCGATGGCGCGATTTATATCGATAAATGATGTGACATTTGGGAAAATAATCGTGACATTTGCGCGACCCGACAACGTGAGTGACGACAAGGATGATGTTGGCCAAAAAGGGAGCGACATCAATGGCATCAACGGCATTAGCAACATCGGTCGTGGTTGGGATTTGGAGATTTGGGGTTTAGGGTTATAGTTTTTTAGGGATTTGGTTCTTTTTGTAATTTTAGATAAATAAGGTTTTTTTATAAATACAATATAATAATTTATTAAAATTTTATAAAGGCGATATGTGTTCTTTAACGACAGTTACAGCCCGAGCACTTAAAGCGATAATGTTTGTAAGTTGTAATGTTAGGCACCTAGATGAATAGAAAAAAGTTTGGACACTTATTTTGTAATTAAACCTTATTTTATTAATATGTTATACCAAGATTGTACCACCTTATCATCTAAAAATATTAAAATATTGTATGATGAGGTGACAAAATCTTATATTATATGATCATTAGAAAGATTCAAATTTCGAGATTATTATAGGTCGAAAATTTCCATGGATTAAATTGAAAAAAGTTGTCAAATTTTAAAGATTGTTGCAATTATCCCAAAAATATAATAAGAAATACATCATCCAATTTGTCTTTTAGTTTAAGCAAAGCATCACGTAGGCTTCTTATGACAACTATAACTATCAACTAATATTAAATTTGGAAAATAAAATCATACAAGCAAACATTTTTTTTGAATTAATCATTGATATCCGATCTATTGACCGACTAATCCAGATCATGTATTGCAGAGGCGAATGCGACCCTCCCATTCCAGTTTGCTCCATACAAGCATTGTCAAATAAAAGATAGAAGTTCATGAACTAGTTCAATAAAAAAATTAATTATTTATTAATATTGGGGTATAGTATACAAATGATCTCATGACTATAATATATTGTTTTGTTGAGTCTCTTGACTACTAAATGTTACAAAATGACCACTCACCTATTCATTATATTTCAAACTCGTCATTTTCTGTTAAAAGTTTATGGTCATCTAAGTTGGACGTTATCATGTAGACTGGCACATGATAGTCGTTTGAGATTATGAGATCATATTTTATCATATCTCATTTAGCAGGTTAACGTACAGTTTAGACTGTCGTCAATATTTTGACGAAAAAGGACGTGTTTGGAACAATAGTCGAGTGAGTATTTTATAAATTTTAGTAGTCAAGGGGCTCAATAAAGTAACTCCTTATAATTGAAGGACCATTTTGTAAATTTTAATAGTCAAAGAACTTAATAAAACAATATCCTATAGTTAGGGGACTATTTATATACTTTACCCTTAATATTATTGATATTATAAAAGAACAAAGCCATTGCAACAATGATTTTCCATTGAATTCTTGTTCAAGTCCAAAGAGAGGCTCTTGCAAAATCATCATAATCTAAGCATTAATTTTAAAAAATCATATATATTAGTTCAAATATTTTTTGATTAATTTGGGTAAGTAAAAGACAATATTTGTTTAAAAATAACTCTCAATCTTTCGACATTAAAGGCTCACACCCCTGATATCTATGGTGCTCAAATCCGGGTCATCAAAGAATAACAACAATTCTTTTATCACGAAGGCTACTCGATTCATGCATATTGTTCAAACATTAAATGATAAAATTATTTAAAAATTTAATCAAATAATTTAAAATAATTAATACAAATAAATGTTATTATCGACAATAAAAAATAAACATCATCCGCCCTAAGATAAAAATATATATAATAATGATAGTATGTTAATAAATTAATGGGTAAACTATGTCGATAGTCCATTTTGTTATTAGTTTGATCGAATTTGGTAACCGAAAAAAATTAAGGGGAAATGATACCTTATGTTATCGATATGTTCTATTTTAGTTCTTATGCTATTAATTTTGTTTAATCTCCTTTTATTTTATGTCCCTTTTGTTGAAGTCTCTAACATGATTGAAGGGTTGAAATCGAACAAATAACGTTAGGGACTAAAATTAGATGGACTGATGTCAACATTGACAATTTCCCCCTTAATTTTTTTCGGTGACCAGAGTAGATCAGACTGAAAACATAAGAGATTATCGGCTTAGTTTACTCTAAATTAATTGAATCATAATTTAAATATAATTTATTTATTTATAATGATATCGGATCGTAGCTTTAAACACAATAGATTCGTTCCTGACATGGAATTCTTAGCACAATGTGTCATAAACAACCCAAAGTTGTCTCTTCTCGTCGGCTGATGCTAGATTCCATTTTTCACTCTCACTATCAGCGCGTGAAGCATTTTCATTAGAAGGATAAAGTATAGAAATAGTCCCCTGACTATTAAAAGTTACAAAACAGTACCTCAACTATGGGGCAATGCTTTTTTGAGTCATCTGACTATTAAAAGTTTCAAAATGATTATCCAACTATTCATATGTTCCAAACTTATCATTTTCCATTAAAAATTTTGACGTCCGTATGAGCTTAAGTTAAAATGTTGATTGGGGTATGTTAAAATTTAGTTCAAGAATCGTTTGGGTTGTATTTTGTGGATAGATTATCCGTTTGTATTATGTCGTCGAGTCAGTGCTTGAAAGCAACGGTGGTGTCAATATACATCATCAAAATATGATTTTAATGAATATCTAAATTCAGAATAATATGAATATAAATCAACCACAATCCTAGATATCCAAAGTTGAACTCACCTTAAAAGTAAATATATTCTTTATTTTATAATTAAAATTTATAGTTGTATATATGAATTTAAAAGTTACATCTTCATAAGTAATATAAATATAAATAATAAAAGAGTCTACAACACACGTCACATACCGTAATGTACCATAATTTAAATTGGCATCACAATCATTTTTATGCATTGGATTTACAAAAATCAATAATTCAAGTTAGTAGCCTATTGTATGAATAACTTAATTAACTTGTTATTTTTTGGAAAGAATACGAGGTTCATTTTGATAAATTAAAATAATAGAGACTAATCTTTCAATTATTATAAAATATAGAGATGAAATTAATAATTAGTCCTTAAAATTATTTGCCCCAAATTATATACTATAAGAATAGAAATGAAAGAGCTCGTCACTCGCTTATCTCAGCGCGTGGGAAACAACGTCACTTTCTCTAGACTATCTCGAATCACCACCACACTCTGATAAAAGAAAATGCTCCAGCTTTTTTCATGTCCTAACCGTATTTAACGAACCGGTTCCGGTTAACTGCGCGCACTTTAGCAATCCCTGCGCACAATAAGCCTCCCTCCCCTTCCTCTCCGCGTAGAATAGTTCGTGCCTTTTCTTCCCCGAAATGGCTGAGTTGACTCGGGCCGATGTGTATACGCCTCGGTCGATGCAAGTATGGAGAGCGCTTTTGAATTGGCTCGCTTTTTTCGTTCAGATCTTTGCTCAGATCATCAGAGCCGTCGGACAACATCCTCTGCTCTCTTCCTCGTCGGCGACGACGGAGACTCCGACTACTACGCACCGTTTTAAGCGCTTGCCGGCCGTTGACTCGATCGAGATCGAGTCCCCCGCTACGGTCGAGACCTCTGCCGTTTTGGACTCTCCTGCTCCTGCCGGCGATGCCCGCATCGAAAAACTCACGGTAGGAATTTTTTTTCTCATTTTTTACTCGTTGTAGATTCTATGTTCTTTAAATTAAGCAATCAAATTGCAATCTCGTCAGTTTTTTAAAAATTTCAAATTAAAATCATAAGCTAAAAGGAACAAATCAGTTCTTTAAATTCAAGTTTTTGATTCGTAATCAATCACTATTGGGGATTCAACATGTAAAGTCGGTAACAGAAGGAATCATATCAGGTGCAGGTTTCCAATTTATTAAACTTTCTATTGTGCCTAAAATTTTTGGGTGTGGAAAGTTCTATTAAGAAGCAATAAAGATGCTGAGTTTGGTTACTTTCAAGGTAAGATGTTCCAACCTTGTGAAACTGTAAAACAAAAGATAGTGTGTACTATCGATGTTCTAGGCTTGATCACTGCTTTTGCAGGTAGTTCTCGACCTGGACGAAACTCTCGTGTGCGCGTACGAGACGTCTAGCCTTCCACCGGCCCTCCGTAGTCGAGCAACGGATGCCGGATTGAAGTGGTTTGAACTGGAATGTGTATCTTCAGACAAGGTTTGCACATGAACAATCCATTTCTCTATTTTAAATGATGTGATGTTTATGTAAGAGCTTTGTCATTTGGGTACTTTGATCTTTGAAGGAATTCGAAGGGAAACCTAAGATCAGTTACGTTACCGTGTTTGAGCGCCCGGGGTTGCAGGAATTCTTGAATCAACTAAGTGAATTTGCTGAACTTGTGCTGTTTACTGCTGGCCTTGAAGGTTTTTGCTCAACTATTAGACATTGTTTTGTTTTTATCAAATCACTTCATTCATTTTCTCATGAATTTTGTTAATGGCTGCCCACAGGCTATGCTAGACCACTTGTAGACAGAATTGATAAAGAAAATAGATTTAGTCTTCGACTTTATAGGCCCTCTACAATTTGCACGTAAGTACTTCTTCCTCTACGCTCCTATAATCTTCCGGCCTTCATTCTCTCGGATGTGTTGATGGATAATAATGAAATCCTTTGGTACTTTGTCTAGGAAATTATACTTCTGGTTCTTTTTTTCTTATTGCCTGTTTGAGTTAACATTTGTATACATGGAACGCAACTAGGAATTAGTTTTAGGGCAATCTTGTGCTTCCTCTGTGTTGTATGTGTAAGAAATCAACTTCTTGGTGATTTATTTGCCGTTTACCTTCTAACACAACAGCGAGTATCGGGAGCATGTGAAAGACCTCTCGTGCCTATCGAAGAACTTATACCGAACTGTTATTGTAGACAACAATCCTTTCAGTTTCTTGTTGCAACCCTTAAATGGGATTCCATGCATTCCATTTTCTGCAAGGCAGCCGCGTGATACACAGGTAGCAGGATCCGCATCATCCTAAACTCGTTATCCTCATTGAATATTGATTTGTTATAGCGTGTCTGTTCGTTCACGATGTTTACGTCTTGTTTTTTATGTTGAAAAGCTTCTGGATGTCCTCCTTCCACTTCTGAAGCACCTTTCTCTGCAGAAAGACGTGAGATTGTTTCTTTACGACAGGTTCCGCATGCCCGAATGGTTTCGAAAGCAGGGTATCCCTGCTTCTGGTTGGTCAGTGTAGGAGGAAGATCACATATGCAAGGCTGTCGGTTCTTCCGCGTACTTCCTTTCCGTTACCGATTTTTGTCCAAGGCATCATAAATTTATAGGTATCATCCGCATTCCGGACACGCTGATGAAAGCCACCGGAATCTTGCAAACAGATTAATCGGATGCTATCTCGTATTGTATTAGGTGAGTCATTTATGTATTCAGATCCACACAAAAATTCTCGATTCATAGTGTAACTCTGTTTATAGGCTTGCAATCCTGTTGGATGTTTATATAGCTTTCGGAATTTTGTAAATTTTCTTCTCAATCAATTATTATTTCTAGCTTACCTTCTCAATCTTGGACTTGGTTGTTTCGAGTTTGAATAATTTTGAGTTCGGATCATTTCGAATTTGTCATCCAATCTTTTCAGCTTGTCTCATTTCAGGTAAAACTATAAATGAATTGAACGTTCGATGAATTGTTCATAAATTCGTAATTTTGAAAAAAATGTTATATTGCTTTATTAAACAGATTAGTTTGAATAAATGTATGCCCTTTTCCTTTATGTTCACGTATGAAGTGATTTATAAGTTTGTTTATGAGTTGTCTATTAATTAGTTTATTTTGATTTTGTATATCTTTTTAGAAAATACCTAAATATTTGTGTATATTTTATTTATATGTTATTAATATTCATTTTTATTGTTTTATACCTAAAATATAACCCTAATTTTTTTACCCAAGTTTTCTCTCAATATTCTCCTATCGTGTTTCTCTCTCTTTGATTTTTGTTTAGCAGGCGGTGATATCAATCTTTATGTTGGGTGTTGACCGTCGATGATTATCAATTATCTTGTTTTTTATATTGTATCATTTGTTTTCCTTTTTTTTCTTGATTTTTTTTTTCAATTTTGAATAAGAATCTCTGTTCTACTGACACTTTTCTATGCTCTTATGGCACACGTTTTCTCTGCTCTTATGGCATGATCCTTATGATTTTTGGTACATTTTTCGAATACCTTTGTGGTCGTTTTGGTGTTTGTACAAAAACCCTCACGACATTTATTTTTCTGATTGGTTTTTCGGTGGTCAAGTATTATCAGATATCTTCTTTGATAAAAAGTTGTTTGCCGATTTTAATTGCAGCCTGTCAAATAGTTTGGTTCACTCACCGCTCTTTTATCACTTCGTAAGCGTCTCATTCAACATAGAATAGGAGTTCTGTTGAAGGTTACTGAGTTCTTTTGATGTTAGTCGTTATTCTCAAGGAAATGTTTCAGTTTTTTTTTGTATCTTTAGATTTAATATTTTTGCTTTTGTATGAGTTTTTGGTGATTATTGTATTTATTTTCCCCTCTATGTTTGGGAGCGTTGTTGTAATGCCCCAAATATTTAATTAAGGACTTTATTGAAATGTTTTAAAATTTGAGAATCTATTTGATTAATTGATAAAAGATGATAATGATTTGGAAATAGTAGTTTAGATTAAATTGTAGTAATGGAGGATTAAAAGGGCATTTTGATCATTTGGAATAAAATGAATTTAAAATTTATTCTTTATAGTATATACTGCCCATACGGAAATTGTAGCAATATTGTTAAGAATAAAGAGAAGTTTATTTTCTCTATTAGAGAGTTTGTACATGCAAAATTTGATAGTGGGAACATAGTTAATGTTGACTAGCACATTTATATAGCATGGGAATCTAAAATTGAATTTATTTTGACTCTTTGATTTGTAACAACTTGTTGCTCCTTTAAATATAGGGTAAATTACTTCAAATATCATCAACCTTTAAGCGCTGACTCGTTTATACTACCAGTGTTTCAATTTTGTTAATTTTAGCACTGACGTTTATTTTTAAGTGCAATTATACCACTCTACCTTTAATGATTTAGCGACACGATGATATGGTAGATCCGCACCATGACATTGCTGACGTAGATGTCTCACCAAAATGATGTCTTTTTGGCATGACTGTTTTGATGCCTTAAAAAAGCCAAAACGACGTTGTTTTACTTAAAGATATTTTGTTAAAATTTGAGTTTAGTGGGAATTGAACTTTAGACCTTTGGAAACAAAGGATGATGCTTAGCCACTCAACTAACTCAAAATTTTAATTACATTCTTACAAATATAATATACAAATATATTCTTAGAAATAATAATTTTTCAAAAAAGCCTAAAATTTTCAAAAATCCTAAATTTCTCCAAAACTTAAAACCCTAAATACTAAATCCATAATTTCACCCATTATCGTTGTTGAATCAATGACCACCGACCACCATTTTAGTTGGCAAACCCTTACCACCAATTACTACACTCTCCCGTCGCCAAAAATCAATGTGTAATATCTCAATTTTAAGGAACTAAATCAGAATGTTTACAAAATTTAGTGTCGTTCTGGAATTTATTAAAAGTCAAATGGTCTATGTTATAATTTTCATGTGGGTTATTTTAAAACCCTTTTCCTCCCTCTTTTTCCTGTTCGTGCAAGTTACCCCAAGCAATTTCTTTTTGTTTTCTTTCCCTCTCAATTGCTTGTGCTTTTCTTCGATTGGTATGTTTCGGCCACTGTGCTTCTCACCATTGGTGGCACTGTGTCCGTCTCGCTGTCGACGTTCGCCCGATACCCTTAGTTTGTCGTTTTTCGTTGTCACTAGCATAGGGTAAGAGAGTTTAGTGTCAGGTTTTCAAAGAAATTCAATTCCACCACTTTCCATCACGAACCAACCCCAGTAAGTTGTTCCCCGTACTTTGTTTTAATTTTTTGGAAATTTTGGTGCAAAAACCACTGTCGGATGGCGTCCCACATTCCCACACGCACTGCCATGGGCATGTGGGAATTCTTTGCCAGTTCAAACCGACTGAACCAGTCACTATTGGACAAAATCGACTAGACCAATCACCTGACCTTTTGACTGACCTGACCCATTGAATGACCTGACCCGTTGACCGTTGACTTTGACCATTAATTTTTTTTCAAAAACCCTTATCTTTTTGTTTTTCGACGTACTGAGTCCATTTTTGTAGTCTGTTTTTTCAAATTTTGACTCGAAAGCCCTGTTTTACGTCATTTTTCATTTAAAGTCTTGAAAATTGTTAAGTAAATTGTGTGGTTTTGAATTCACTTTTGGATCTAATATTCTGAAGGCAACCTTGTTTCTCTAGATCACTATCCAGTAGTCCCTGATCAATCCTGTCCTACTCAATTTGATTTCGGTCGCTTATCTCGAGATACGCGTAAGTATTAAATTAGTGATTTTATGGCATATTTGTTTAGTGGTTGGCAACTGTATTTATGGTAGAGTATTGTTTTAGGTTCCCGATCCGCAGGACCTGGTACTTTTGACCGTGGTACGCGTAAGGCTTAGCTGACAACAATTATCTTGTTTAGGTGTGTCATCTTTACCTATTCGATACTCTGTTATGTTTAATACTACTTCTTAAAATATGTTTGTAATATGGTTGCACTTGTCTGTGTCATTCATATTTATGAATAATGTTGCATCACTAATGATCAGCTCATGGATGCATTTCCGATTCTCCATGGGATAAATTCCCCGTTCTGACATCTGCTTGGGATTATATCCCCATTCTGATTTATGTTTCTGGTCGGAAACGTAAAGTAGTGTGTTATTGGTGCTGCATTCTGTTCATTAAATTTGAATTTAATGTTATAATTTATTTGTATTATTTTGCATATACTTGGATATCTACTTTACTTTAGAGGACACACTGGGCTTCATAGCTCATTTTCTAGTTTATGTCTTTTCAGATTACTTAGACTTAAAGGATTTACGGTTGGTACTTGGAGGATTATTTGTAACCGTTTTCTTTCAGACATTGTATGTATGTTTTCTTTTCGGACTTTTTATTATTTGTTTTTTGTCGATTTTATATATATTTGTATATTTTATTTTCATGGGATTTGGGATACTAAATTACTTTATTGAGTTTGGATTTAGAGCTCGTTTTATGTTTAAGTATTATGAACTTCTCAGTTTTGATGGTTTTATTGACGATGCATGTTAAGATATGATATTTTCTTGATTTTTGTTCAATCAAACATTGTCATGGTCTCCGAGATTCAATTGTAACTTTTAGGCCGGGTCTAGGGGTTACACAAAGAATAATGTGCTAATCAATCTTCAAAACACCGAATATAAATTGTTCTAATCGAACCATGAACGACGACCACTCGACAAACGAATGGTGAATAACGTGCACGACGAGAGGATGAGACTTCAGTTGATGGCAACAACGTGCTATAGACGATGATGGTTGGTGAATTTAGGGATTATGATTTAGGGTTTCTAGTTTTAGGGATTTTCGGAAATGTAGAGTTTTTTATTTAATTTGGGGGTTTTTTAATAGAAATTTTAGGATTGTTTTAGAAAACTAATATTATTTATGTCAACAAAACGACGTCGTTTTAGGCTTTTTTAGGCATCCACATCAACAATGTCACAATGTGAAGCTGCCATGTCATCATGTCGTTAAACTATTAACGACAAAGTGGTATAATTGCACTTAAAAGTAAACTTTAGTGCTAAAATTGACATAATTAAAACGTTGGTGACATAAATGAGTCAGCACTTATAGAAGTTGGTGGTATTTGAAGTAGTTTACCGTTAAATATAATACATACATTTTATCCATAAATTGATTTCTCTTTATTTTCTTGATTGAAAACGGTTACACACTTACACTGGTAGATAAATTTACAATGAAGATATAAGTAGGAATATAATTCTAATTTACAGTTAAATTACGAGTCTGCTTAATTTAGTTAATATCCTATCTAACCTCCTAATTCGATAAGTAGTAATATCCTGTTTAATTTTCTAATTAAATAACAACTGGTAATATCCTATCTAAACTCATAATTATATAAGTAGAATACAAAGTAATAAAAAAATAAAAAATAAAACTCTTAACACGTAAGCTATGCACCTACAATTTACACATATATAATTATACTAAAATTCAATTAGAATACGATACCCTAAATTAATTTTATAAAATTACTCAAAATTAATTACCTTCAAAATTTCTTTGTAAATCAAATTCGGATACTTTAGAAAACTTTAAAGCAACTTGAAGGATGGTTTCAAAGACCTTGACTGAGTCAAAGGAGGGCTTCAAAAAGATAATTTAAAGGGGTAAAATGTTTTTTAAAAAAATAACGAGGAGCTAAATGCTAATTTTACAAAAATTTTGGGAGACTAAAGCCTCCAATGATCTCATTTAGGGATGGAAACGGGTCAGGTTTTTTGTCACCCGACTTGACCTAAAAGTATGTATTCTCCACCAGAACTCGACCCAATCCAAAATTTATTTTTGACCCATAA